GATGACCCACGCTTGTGTCAAGTTGAGGAACAGTTAACCAGCCCAGGAGCATACTAGTGCATCAGACTGCACTAACACAAAAACAACACAAATCAGTGAAAAGGCAGAGGACACCAGGCTGGTGGTGCACACCTTCAGTCCCAGCACTTGCACTCGGGAGGCAGAGCAGAAGCAACTCTGAGGCTAGCCTGGTCTACAGAGCGAGTTACTGGGCTTCGTCTCTGGGACTGTTGGCTGACACACTGGTTTCATCCTGTAGCCTGTGTTCTAACTATTGAATGCTCAGTGCACACAGAAAGAACAGACTGATAAAAAGCTGGCAACCTGGTAGAACAACAAAGAACATGAACAAACATTTCACAGGAAGGGAGACACGTCAAGGCAATAAACTTGCGAACAGATAACCAGGAAATTCAGATTACATTTCACAGCCAATCTTCAAACATTTTAAAAGTTTAGAAGACAGGGGCAGGGATTCCCCCATGCTGTCTTGGGGTTAGACACTGGCGGAGTCAGCTCAGAGAGCCAGCCTCCCAGAGGGGCATCTGTGAGTCTCCCTCACAGGCGAGCTGAAAGAGCACACAGCCATGGCGGGAGGGATGACGGAGCAAAGGACACGGTCCGCGTGTGGAAAGGTCACGACGAACACGTCAGAATATATCCTAACACAGACCAAAGATTAAAAATAAGGTAGGGCTGCTGGCTGCAATACTGTTTGAAAATATGGAAAATCAGAACTGAGCCACAGCCTCCTTACACAAAACAGACCGCTAGACATTCGAAGGATGGAATTCTGTATGTAGCAGTTAAAATAATGAACAAATCCACAGGTAGCAACACAAAATCTCAAAAACAAAGTACTGAGCTAAAATAAAAATACAGAAAGACATACCAAGAGGTCATTTCTACGGGGCTGAACTATGCTCTTTAAAAATAACATAAAGCGTGTGGGACTACAAAGATCTCAAAAGCGTCACACTGTTCCTGACAGTTATGTACCCCAGTCTAGGTATAGCTAGTGCCTGTGAGGAGAAAGCAAAATGAGTGGAAGAGCAAGGGGCTGAGTCCTGTGACATGCAGTCCATCTATAGCATTCTATTTCAAAATAAAGCAAATTAAGGTGCTTCCCACCAAACCTGATGTCCAGAATCCACAGGGCTTAAAGACAACCAACTCCACAGCTGTGCTCTGACCTTAACATGTCCCCACGTATATAAAGGTGTAACAAAAACATTAAATGAATGAGACGCAGCGTGAATAAACACAACAGAACGGGGGTGCACCTAAAGCTAGTATTTCTTCTTCGGGACTTAAACGCTTTGCTTTTAACCACACTGTGAACAGCGCTGCAATTCAAAAACTTCACTTTTCCTAATGTCTTCAAATATCATAAAATCTATAATTAAATACTAAGAGGTCAAAAAAGTTGTCCAAGCAAAGATTGTTAGAACTCACCTGTAAATCCAGCCCTCAGGAGGCAGGAAGGGTGCTATGTCAGAGCTAATCCTCAGAACAAAGAACGAAAGGTCCAAATTCTCATTGTGGAATATATTTCAGTTTTCAGTGTGTTCAGATGGTTGGAGAGTGAAGCGCTTAGACATAAATTGCACGTGCCCTGACCAAAACACTGAACAAAGTGTAAGGATATAGACCTGTGGATGAAGGATTGGAAAACAAATTGAAATTGAAAGGCTCTGGGTGAGATGTCCCTGAAATGTCTGTTTTAGATCTGGCCTGATGGACAAAAGAGTTGTTGAAATAAATATGCACTGAGCCTCATGGAGAATCTGGACTTCGGCAACAATTCAGAAGAGCCGATTTAACCAAACAGAGCTCTAGAGAGGCAAAGGAGCCGAGCGAAGACTTCTGGTTTCCTTCTGTGAACTCACTTCTGTTCCATGATCAGCTTAAACAAGCAGGCTCACAACACAATGGCCTGGGTCAAATCACTCTGCACACCCAATGCTGAAAAGTCACGGGGGAGCGACACCGAGCTGTCCCTTTAACTAAGGCGGCCCTCCGAGGCCTCAATTGTTCCACTTATGTCTCAAATCAATCAGATGGAATTCACCTTTTACTCGGCTTGAATCCTGATAGCACAGCACAGGTAATCTAATCATGTCTGGTGTAGATGAACACGAACTCAAATTAGACTCGGCGGCTCAGAGTGAGCTGTGCTTTTCCACGATTGTGGGGCGGCTGAGCTTCACCAACTGGCTGGCCGCAGGTGTTATTAAAAATTTAGTGACAGAAACAAAGGTGTGCTGGCGTCTCCCGTTACCCTTTCTACTGTTACTCTGGCAGACAAAAGGCGCAGCACACACTTCATGAATAATGGGACACGGAATATTCACAATCCATTTTTAATGGAGCCAATAATAACATTAAAAGATATTTGCAGTCTTCAAATTTCACAGGGCAACTGGCACAGTAATTTGTTTTGATTCTAAACTGAGTGATATTGAAATAAATATTTTCCCAATAAAAAAAAGCATATAGTTAACACCGAAATTACAATTTCTAGACTAAGCATGATGGGACACACCTGTTATCCCAGCCACCCGAGGAACTACAACAGGGGGATTGTGAGTTCAAGTCCATCCTGGGCTACATAGTAAGCGTTTACCTCAGCACAAGTAAACAACAAACAAAATGCACACACCCATGCACACAGAGACACAGAGAGAGAGAGACAGAGAGAACACAACTCCTAATAGCATAAACAAAAAAAAGTGAAAGTGGACCAAATACTCCAATGTCATCAGGCAAGATGGGGAGAAGACAGAACCCACAGATTTCAATCAGTTCGACTCCACCTTCATTATGATTTTGCTTTTCAATCAGGTTGGAACTAACAGACAGTGCACACACTGACCCGTGAGCAGGCCGCCTGTCTCCGTGCGATAGCGCTTTGCCAACCGGCTACTGTGACCTGATTTCCACACTTGGACGCTCAGCTCCGAAGTTCTGAGAAACTATCTTCACCCTCAAACAGGAGCAAACTTTGAGTGGGCGTTAACTGACGTGTAGAGCACAAGGACGGCCAAGGACTTGGATGGGAGAGGTTCAAAGCCCCTCAAGTCCCCTCAGAAAGGCTGTGTGAGTCCCAGCTGCAGAAGGAAGTAGGGGCTCTCTATCACCTGCTGCTGAATGAAGCTCCGTGGGGCTTCTGCATCTGCAAATGCATGCTGGGCACTCAGGGAGCATCTGAGAAACTGACTCGACTGGACAGTGCTGGGGCCCCCTGCCAGTGGGCTGAAGCTCTGGCTAGAAGCCTTCAGAGCACAGGCAGTGGGGAAGGCCAGGGGTTCACGCTGGTTCCAGTCTTTCAAAGGACCTGCTGATGGGACTGAAACAGAATAGCCTTGTGATGACTGCTTTTATGCCGTCTTAGCCCAAATTGGAGTCACCTCAGAGGAGGGAACCTCAATTGAGAAAATGCTTCCAGGGCCAGGCCATGGTGGTGCACGCCTTTAATCCCAGCCCTCGGGAAGCAGATGTGGGTGAATCTTTGTGAGTTCAAGGCCAGCCTGCCCTACAGAGTGAGTTCCAGGACAGCCAGAGCTACACAGAGGAACCCTGTCCAAAAACTGAGAGAGAGAGAGCAAGAGAGAGCAAGCAAGAGAGAGAGCTTCCTTAAGATCAGTGTGTAGGCAAGCCTGTGGTGCATTTTCCTAATTAGTGATTGATGTAGCTCATGTGGGTGAGCCCACCCCTGGGCTGGTGTCCTGGTTCTGTAAGAAAGCAGCTGAGCAAGCCAGTGAGCAGCACCTCCGTGGCCTCTGCAGTCAGCTCCTCCAGGCTCCTGAGCTGTGTGGGTTCCTGGCTTGGCTTCCCTCAGTGGAATGTGACTTGAGGTCTGTAAGCCAAATGCCCATTTAGACGCTTTCCTCTGCATGTTGCTTTCGCTCATGGTGTCTTGTCACGGCGGCGGCGACAGCGACCCAGGACAAACCCAGATATCCGGTCACCCTTTCTCACACATTAGTTTTCCGGTTTGCCTTCCACATAGCAGCCAGCCCACCTGCTGATCCCGTCCTCCCTCCCTCCTCTCTTCTTCACTCCAGTCTCCATGGAGTCTGAGTGGTCAGATGTTTGGATGGCAGGACCACAGCAGGGCTTCACGGGCAAGGAAACTAGGAAGTGAAGGCGGTTGCCAGTCACGGGATGCAGCCTACAGCCGTGACAGAGGCGACCACCTGAGTGGGCCCAGCAGGAAGCTGGGACTCCCTGGGCAGAAAAGGCTTCAACACCCTTTCCGGGCCGCCTCAGGCACCGGCACACTCGTGCAAACATTTACACACACAAACAAATCAATCTTTTTCAAGCACTCACATCTCTAAATCAAAGGTCTATGGGGGTTTTGTTTGTTTTTATCTATGTCCTTCCTGATTTTTGTTTTGTTTTTAAGGCCAAATTCTCAGAGGTAAGAACCCATGTCCCTGTGGGTCCACCCAGGACTCTACAAGGCTATAGGAGCTAAGTTTTCCGCACTTCCTAGGTCTTCATTTAAGACATATTAGCCAGGAGTAGGGATACATGCCTTTAATCTCAGCACTTAGGGGACAGGTCTCTGTGAGTTCACCAGGAAGACCCTGTTCAAAAAAGAAAGGGAGGGACAGAGGGAGGGGGGAGGAAGGAAGGAAAAGAAAAGAAAGATGGATTGATTGATTGACTGGTTGATTTGGGGGCTGGGGAGCTAGCTCGGTGGTTTTAGAGTGCATCCTGGATCTCACAACCCTCTTAACTACTCCGGCCCTCTCTATCCTCTGTGATCATGCGCACACACAAACACATAATTAAAAATAATCATATAAATCTTTTTTAAAAAAAGAACTAAGTGTCTCTAAGGAATTAAAAGAAATGGAAAAATATGGAGCAACTGGAATTTACTCTCTAATATTTCTCTGCATTCCTCTGGTCCCAGGATACGCCACAGAAAAAAATAAGACCACCAATGGCCTTCCCCTGAAATTCCTGGCCTAACGAAAGGCAAGCTGTGACAATTCTTAATACTTTATTAAGTTAAAACAACATTCTAATAAATATGCTCTAGCATACATAATGCACTCCAGAGGGTTTAGAAACATTTAACCCTCACAGTAAAAATATCACTTTTTTTCCTAGGTGGTACACAAGAGTTGAGGCCACAGCCTTCGCCCCGCATCTACCAGCCCAGGCATTTTACAGAATGTCCGCTTAACGATAAAAACTGGATTTGATCATGGATTTTTGTTTTTCAAATAACCCTGCAATTCCTTTTTGTTTACACTTGAACTCCAAAAGTTCCGAAGGTCTGACGGTCTGTGCGGCCTTTTCAGAGCCCCCTTGGAGGGGGAGAACTCGGGCTCTAGCTGCTTCGGGGTCCAGCTTCCCTGTGGGGGGCAGGGCTGTGGCTTTACCCTCGGCTCCCCCGTGCCAGCCTGTGGTCCTTGCGCTCACAACCCGGGGTCAGTAAGCACTTGCGCGGAGAGGGGGAAGGACATCCGTGTCGGGGGAGCTGGCCCCGGCCCCTCCGCGGCCGGCTCCGGGAGGGCCTGGCTCCTCTCGGGGCGCCTCGCTGCTCCTGTGGCGGGCTCGGTGCCCGCGGCGGGCTCGGAGGACCGCGCTCCTTCCCCAGCCAGCGCGGAGGGGAGCGGGCCCGGCTTTCGCGCGGCTGTGGGCCGAGCTCTGGGAAGGGGGGCGGGCGGGGCGGACGCCCCCCGCCGCCGGCTCACTTGAGGCCGTGCTGGCTCTCGCGGTGCCGGCGCAGGTCCACCTTGCGCTGGAAGCCCTTGCCGCACAGGTCGCAGCCGAAGGGCTTGAAGCCCGTGTGCTTCCTGCTGTGCGTGATGAGGTTGGAGCTCTGGCTGAAGGCTTTGCCGCACACCTGGCACTTGTGGGGCTTCTCGCCTGCGGGGGGGAGGAAGGGGTGTGAGCAGGGCTCGGCGCCCGCCCCGGGGGCAGCGGGCTCCGCGTGGAGGCGCCCAGCCTCGGCTTCCTGCCCCGCGCGCCGCCCCGCCCCGGCCCGGGGCACCCGGCCCAGGCCCGCGCAGGTGTGCAGGGCCGGGAGGGCTGCCCCGCGGCCCCGTGACTGCCTCCGTCAGAGGAAGTCTTCAAATCTGAGTTTCCAAGTGGGTGTCGCTCGGGGCCACTGAAACCGTCCCCCGCTCCCTGCTCTAGAGGGGCGCGGCTCTGTCCCACGTCTTCGGTTTCCAAGACCCACGCTTGGGCCGCAGGCCGTCTCCTAGGGCTGTCTGTTCCTCTCTAGCTTTTACTGCTTTCTTTCCTTGAGGTTTTAAATCACAGGCTTCTTAATATGACAACAGATAACGGGGGAGGGGAACTCAAAAAGAGGTAAGAGAAGAAAGCCAACAGCGTTTGTCGTTCCCCGTCTTGTGCACTGCTTAAAATCTGGGTAAAGAACACACCCCCAAACAGTCCCCTTAGGGCCCCATGGCTGGAACTTGACTTTGAGGGTCAAAAAAAAAAAAAAAAAGTGTCTGTTTGTTTGCTTGTTTTTAAAGAACTTCCACCTCTCTTTGTGCATAAGATTTCTTGAGAAAGACTCGCCCTGCGAAGCTTACCCTGTCCCTCTAGAGTCAGGCAGGTATGAAAACTGAGTTCTAGCCGCTACGAATGTTTCATAAAGGCTTAAGTGTGTCGTTCAGTCAAGATTCCATTTTCAGTTTTGTAAGTGTCTCAAACAACTTTAAGAGTGAACTGCGTGGAGATTTCAAGCAAGGGGCATAATTGAAGTGAGGATGCTTTCCCGAGTTTTCTGACACAAATTTCCACACTGCTCGTGAATATTTACAGACACAGATTGTGGGTGCTTGGAAGACGCTGCCTTCTTAAATACAGGACCTTGCTCCAAAGCCCTAGCCAGCCTGGACTCACGTAGCCGAGGCTGACTTCCATCTCACGGGAATCTACCTGTCTGCCTCCTGTGTGCCACTCTGCCCGGCTGTGATCTGCTTTACAGAAATGTTCATATCTGTCAGGAAAGCCAGAGCTGTGGTTGCTGTCATATTCACTACAGGAAATGCCCTTAGGGGCAAGAGTCACCTGAGTTCACAAGCTCCTGGTGTGGCAGGCGCGCGCGCGCACACACACACACACATGCACACACATGCACCTGAAGTGTTAAGGCAGGAGGCCCAGACTGGAAGCTGGAGCCCCGAGATTTACTCAGAAGCTGGAGCCCTGAGATTTACTCAGAAGCTGGAGCCCTGAGATTTACTCAGACTAACATCCTACATCACTCGGTGTCTGAGGAAAAGGATCCATTTTACTGCTTGGAGCCGCAGGAAAGGAGCAACGGAAACGAACAATCTGAAACCCCTGCGTGTTTTTTAAAGCCCTGTAACAGGGAAGGAGCTGTCACCGTTAGGGAACAAAATTCTTGGTTTTTTGAAAAAAAAAAAAAAAAAGACAAATGAGTAAAACCTTCCTCATTAACCAACGCCCAGAACTGTGAAAGTCTAATATAGCAATAAATAAGTCTACACATTCGAGAGCTCAGGCCATCAAGCCCGAATCTGAGCCCTGTGCCATCCTGGGTAAGTTATTCTGTCCTTCTGAGCCTCGATTTCCCCTTCTCTAACCGGGGCTCTCAAAGTCCCCGTCTCCTGGAGCTGTCCGCGCGGGCTCAGCGGGACCTCGCTCGGTGGCGTTGGCCTTTCTTTCCCTGCCCCATGCGAGCCCCGGTGTCCGCGTCCTGTCCCCCGGAGGGCAGGGCGGCCCGGCTCACCCGTGTGGATGAAGGTGTGCTTCTTCATGTCTGACTTCTGGTGGAACCTCTTCCCGCAGTACTGGCAGGGGTAGGGCCGCGTGTCCGAGTGGATGAGCAGGTGCGTGGACAGCGTGGACGACCTCTTGAAGCTCTTGCCACAGATCTTACAGTCGAAGCTGCGCTCCTGCGGAGGGGACACGCCCGCCGCGCTCGCTGCGCCCCCTCCTCGCTGGCACCAGCAGCCTCCCCGGCCCCGGCCCTCCCCGGCCCTCCCCGGCCCTCCCGCACCCACGGGCGCCCCGGGGCGGCAAGGAGGCCCGGGGAGGGCCCGGCCTGCGGGGGCGGGCGGAGGGTGCCCGCCCGCGCCCTCACCTGCGAGTGCACCGCCTTGTGCTGCTCCAGGCTCACGGCGTGCCCGAAGGTCTTGCCGCACAGCTCGCACGCGAAGGGCCTGGTGCCGCTGTGCGAGCGCCGCACGTGCACCTCCAGCCCGTGCGGCGTGGAGAACACCTGGGGCAGGGGCGACAGCGGTCAGGGGGCCGGGCACGGGCGGGGCTGGGGACACGGGCCGGGCACGCGCGGACGGGCACACGGGCGGCACACGCGGCGGCCCGCAGCCTCACCTTGCTGCACTTGATGCACTTGTAGGA